CCAGGCCAAACTGGTCCCAGTCAGATAAGAACACAGGGACAAACAAAACTAAGAACTGCCCAACCACACCTCATCATAACTTCATTAAAATAGAATTGTAGCTTTGTTCCCACTGAGCCCCCATGGGCTTTTCTGTGTGCATTTTGGGAAAAGACATGCACACCAAAAGGAGTGTGTGTATAACTAGAAACGTCAATCAAAGAGGCACCTCCCAGCTAGGACATGCTAAATAGACCCTCCCCTAAAAGTCTGGGTCCTTTGTTTATATTTACTTGGGTCCACTCCTCCCTTATTCAAATAAACTTTCACTCTTTGCTATTGTGTCTCTGCTTTCAATTCTTTGTTTTACCAGGGACAAGAACCAAGAACAAACTTGACCCACAACATATTTGGTGACATGACTCAGATGCTACTCCTTGTAAGCCATATGCACCTCATCCCCTGGAGGTACTACTTATCTAACATCTGGGGGCCCTTCCTCTCCTTCTCTATTTCTCATGGACAAAAACAGGCACAACCTGCAGGCATGGGTCAAGCATTAAGTATCATTAGAGTGCTCGCTGCAAGAAGACTCCAATGACCAGATAAGTCAGTCACAGATGGGGAAGATTACATTAGGCATCTCCAACTGCAAGACAAAGTCTGTGCAACAGAGGAACACAATAAAAAACGCCCACTTCCAACCCTGTGGAAAATCCCAAAACAGTATTTATTATGACCATATAGAAGACTAACTTTTCTGTGTTCTTGAATTTCTACTGCTTGTTGCATTTCTCTTACTCCTCACTTTCTGTGTTATCTGTAGACTAGCCACAAAAAGAGCCCCAGTAAATTCAAAAAGATTGAAATTCTACCAACCAACTTCTCAGATCAGAAAGGTTTAAAACAACAAATAAATTGTACAAAGAAAACAAAAAGCCTCACAAACACATGAAGGCTTAACNTGACCCCCCCATACAGAATTTTATTGTTGTTAACCATTTGATCAATAAATATGAGAGATGCCCTCTCAAAAAAAAAAAACAGTTTAATATTCTTTGGCATAAATATTACAAAATGTATTCACCCCTTGCCTTATTTATGAGCACCCACTTTATTTACCTTATTTATGAGCACCCACTTTATTTAGCCCAACACAAATAATGATACAGTTAATATCTTTGTACATTTAGTCTACGTGCAAGTGCTTTTCTTTCCATGAACTAAAATTTCAGAATAGAATTGGCTGGGTCAAAGGATTCACATAGTTTTTATTAAACAATAAATAGGTACAAATATTTATCATGTATAGGGTAGACAAAGTAACAGTAAAACAAGTATCTAGGTACTTACCACCCAGTTGAAGAAATAGAACTTTCCCTATTTTCTGAAGCCCCCATATGGTCCTTTTCCCCTTTAGAACAAAATTTATCCTGAATATTTTTTTACATTTTCCTTTTATTGAATTCTGCCACATTCACTAAAAAGAAAAAAAGGAAATAAATTTCTTGCAATGAGAACTCTAAGGGTTTACATTTCATTATCTTTTAGTTGCAATTATTTTGTGATTCCTGTTATGATTCTTTTTGATCAATGTATTACCTACAAGTATGTTTTTGAATTTTCAAATGTGTTTTTTTCCCCTAGTGATTTCTAACTTAACTGCAAGGTTGTCAGAGAATGTGGCCTGTATAACATCAGTCATTTGAAATTTGTTAAGAATTACTACATGGACTTGGATGTGGTCAATTTTCATAAACATTCCACATGTGCTTTAGAAGGATGTAAATCTTCTAACTGTTGAGTGCAATACCTTCCATATGTCTATTAATTCAATCTTCATAATTATGTTGCTCATATCTTCTGATTTTTGTAAGACCTAGCTATTCATTATTTCAAGGTGTGTTAAAAATCTCCACGATAGTGGTAAATTTATCCATTTTCCTTGTAATCCTGTCAAATGTCCCATTATCCCATATAAAAAATGCTAAGGATAATGTAATTAGGTATATACATGTTTAACAGTCCCTAAGTCCTAGGGTATTGAACTTTTCATTATTATTTATTTTTAATTTGCCTTTTGTTAAACTATCTCTACAAGTTTTCTACTGTTATATTAGCCTCACATCTTTTTCCATCTTTGTTCTTGGTTTTAGAATGTCTCAAAAATAGCATTCAGTTGGATTTCATTTTCTTGTCCATTTTACATTTTTTTTTGAACTGGAGAGTTTATTCCACTCATATTAATTGTGCTTTCTGAAATATTTGTATTTATTTTTACCATATTACTATTTATAATTTCTGTTTGTTTCACTATTTCTATTCTTTTTCCTCTCTTCATATCTTGGCTTTGGGCATTTTTTATTCTATTTTCTCCCTCTATTAATTTGGAAATAATACACTCTTTTAGTGGTTGCCTAAGATGTTTTAACTTGTATACTTACAAGAGTAAAAGAGTAAAACTTCATCAATATTTTTACCCTCTTCCCATACAATACAAGGATGTTTGAAAACTTCAACTCCAATCATCACTCGACCCATCCAGTTTCAAATTATGACTTTGAGGCCCAGAATATTCTACCTTGCTTTACTTCAACCACACACATTATGTTTTATTATTACTTTATATAGTCAATATTTTTTTAGCTTTAAATACTTATTTACCAATTTCTTTGCTCATCATTCCTTTTTGTGTTAGGGATTATTTTCTGTTGGTGGTAAACTCCATATATTTTGTCTGAAAAATGCCTTGAATCAGATAACCAGGTTTAACTCCTGGCCCTACCATTCCTTGGTCATGTGACCTTAGATAAATACCTTAACCTCTGGAATCTTTTCATCTGTATTCTGAGATACATTTGAAAAACTGAGATAATATTGAGCAGTTTCATTCTCTGCTGGGAGATACAAGGCTGGGAGGTAAGATGCAACAAGAGGCTCCTGAGATGAGTTCTCTGTAAAATAAAAAAAACAAAATAGAACAAAACCATTAAACACTATAATCACTTTCCTGAGTGTTTGATAATCTTGTAGGGAAGACAAGATTAACATATATTGAAAAAAATTACCTAATAACAATACTCGTGCATATGTGAGGGTTAAAGTATTTAGGGTTAAAGGGTTCTTTTAAGTTAGCATTTTCAAGCCTAAAGAAATGGTTGGCTCTTAGGAGCCTATGAACGAGACTTTACGGAAAAAAGTGCTTGCATAGAGGTCAGCAGCTTGTTAGCCACTCAACAATTTAGTCTTGACAAAATAATACAATGTAAACACTTTAAGAGTTTCTACAAGAAAAAGACTAAAGAAAGTAAGGTTTTCAAACAGTAGCAAAGTAATTATTCATTAAACATCTGGCACATACAGGGCCAGACACTATAAAATATGAAAGCCAGACAATAATGCTTCTACCTACAACAAACTTGTAAGAGTTGGGAAGACTTACATAAGGAAAGTCAATTAACAAAGCAGTATGAGGCAGAAAAGATAACTATAGAATATAATATCATACAGGGATTTTTGGGGAAGATGGCGGCGTGAGTAGGGCAGCAGAAATCTCCTCCCAAAACCATATATATTTTTGAAAACACAACAAATAAAACTATGCCTAACAGAGAGACAAGAGGATGTTGTAGTCCGGCTAAATGTACATCTGCAAGAACTCGGCATCTCATGAAGGGGGTAAGATACAAGCCACAGCCCGAAGGGACCCCAGCTCACCAACAGGAGGTGAGGAGCGGGAACAGGGAGGGAGTGGAAGCCCAGGACTGCTAAATAACCAGCCCTAGTAATCCACACCAGGAGTGCAGACACATATTGCATGGTGTGCTGGATATTAGGGAAACAGAAAAGTAAAATCTGTGAGCGGGTCAGTGCTCCTGACACCCCTGGGACAAAAGAAAAGTGAGTGCTTTTTGAAAGTCTTAAAGGGATAGGGGCTTCACAGTTGAACGGAATTGTCCCGGCATACTCAGCCCAGAATCTGGGAATCCAGGGGAACTCTAGGCGACCTAACGCCATGGGTGGCAGTGCAGCTCTGAAGCCCCTCACAGTGATAAACAGCCTGCTGTTCATTCCCCCTCCCGCGTGACTCCAGCAGAGCAGCCTGGGAGTGGCTGCACCCACAGCAGCCACCCAGAGCCTCCTCCTGGTGGGCAGCTGCCTGGGCCAGATGCAAAAGCCGCCACTGGCAAGGAGCTGCCTGCCACAGGCAGAGGAAGTGGGGGCAAGGCGTGAAGGGGTGCTGTTCTCGCAGGAGAGCACACTGGGCATGCCTGCCTCTCCCAGAAGGCTCTGGGCTGCCCCGCCCACAGTGGCTCAGGAAATTAACCTGGAGCCTGCTCCCAGTGTGTGGGTAACTGGCACAGGCAGCGGAAAAGGGCAAGGTGACCAGCAAGCAGGAAGGGACTTTGTCCTCCCAGCTAACACATGTGCTACCTGCCTATGACTACCTCTGTCGTCATGAAAAGGCAGAAGCATTTGGTCCAGTCCAGAATCACCCAGACAACCCCTGAGAGAGGGCCTGGGGAGACAGATTTAACCAATCTTCCTGAAAAAGAATTCAAAATAAAGGTCATAACCATGCTGATGGACTTGCAGAGAAATATGCAAGAGCTAAAGGATCAAGTTGCGAGGGAGAATACAGAAATAAAACAATCTCTGGAAGGACTTAAGAGGAGACAAGATGAGGTGCAAGAGGCCATTAATGGAATAGAAATCAGAGAACAGGAATACAGAGAAGCTGAGGCAGAGAGAGATAAAAGGACCTCCAGGAAAGAAAGAATATTAAGAGAACTGTGTGACCAATCCAAATGCAACAATATTCACATTATAGGGGTACCAGAAGAAGAAGACAGAGAGAAAGGGATAGAAAGTGTCTTTGAAGAAATAATTGCTGAAAACTTTCCCAAACTTGGAAAGGAAATAGTCTCTCAGACTGTTGAAGCCCACAGATCTCCCAACACAAGGGACACAAGGAGGACAACACCAAGACATAAAATAATTAAAATGGCAAAGAGCAAAGACAAAGACAGAGTATTAAAGGTAGCCAGAGAGAGAAAAAAGGTCACCTACAAAGGAAAACCCATCAGGCTATCATCAGACTTCTCAACAGAAACCTTACAGGCCAGAAGAGAATGGCATGATATATTTAATGCAATGAAACAGAAGGGCCTTGAACCAAGGATACTGTATCCAGCACGACTATCATTTAAATATGATGGCGGGATTAAACAATTCCCAGACAAGCAAAAGCTGAGGGAATTTGCTTCCCACAAACCACCTCTACAGGGCATCTTACAGGGACTGCTCTAGATGGGAGCACTCCTAAAAAGAGCACAGAACAAAACACACAACATATGAAGAATGGAGGAGGAGGAATAAGAAGGGAGAGAAGAAAAGAATCTCCAGACAGTGTATATAACAGCTCAATAAGCGAGCTAAGTTAGGCAGTAAGATACTAAAGAAGCTAACCTTGAACCTTTGGTAACCACGAATCTAAAGCCTGCAATGGCAATAAGTACATATCTCTCAATAGTCACCCTAAATGTAAATGGACTTAATGCACCAATCAAAAGACACAGAGTAATAGAATGGATAAAAAAGCAAGACCCATCTATATGCTGCTTACAAGAAACTCACCTCAAACCCAAAGACATGCACAGACTAAAAGTCAAGGGATGGAAAAACATATTTCAGGCAAACAACAGTGAGAAGAAAGCAGGGGTTGCAGTACTAATATCAGACAAAATAGACTTCAAAACAAAGAAAGTAACAAGAGATAAAGAAGGCCACTACATAATGATAAAGGGCTCAGTCCAACAAGAGGATATAACCATTCTAAATATATATGCACCCAATACAGGAGCACCAGCATATGTGAAGCAAATACTAACAGAACTAAAGAGGGAAATAGACTGCAATGCATTCATTGTAGGAGACTTCAACACACCACTCACCCCAAAGGATAGATCCACTGGGCAGAAAATAAGTAAAGACACACAGGCACTGAACAACACACTAGAACAGATGGACCTAATAGACATCTATAGAACTTTACATCCAAAAGCAACAGGATATACATTCTTCTCAAGTGCACATGGAACATTCTCCAGAATAGACCACATACTAGCTCACAAAAAGAGCCTCAGTAAATTCCACAATATTGAAATTCTACCAACCAATTTTTCAGACCACAAAGGTATGAAAGTAGAAATAAATTCTACAAAGAAAACAAAAAGGCTCACAAACACATGGAGGCTTAACAACATGCTACTAAATAATCAATGGATCAATGAACAAATCAAAATAGAGATCAAGGAATATATAGAAACAAATGACAACAACAACACTAAGCCCCAACTTCTGTGGGACGCAGCGAAAGCAGTCTTAAGAGGAAAGTATATAGCAATCCAGGCACACTTGAAGAAGGAAGAACAATCCCAAATGAATAGTCTAACATCACAATTATCAAAACTGGAAAAAGAAGAACAAATGAGGCCTAAAGTCAGCAGAAGGAGGGACATAATAAAGATCAGAGAAGAAATAAACAAAATTGAGAAGAATAAAACAACAGAAAAAATCAACAAAACCAAGAGCTGGTTCTTTGAGAAAATAAACAAAATAGATAAGCACCTAGCAAGACTTATTAAGAGAAAAATAGAATCTATACACATCAACAGAATCAGAAATGAGAAAGGAAAAATCACCACGGACTCCACAGAAATACAAAGAATTATTAGAGAATACTATGAGAATCTATATGGTAACAAACTGGAAAACCCAGAAGAAATGGACAACTTCTAGAAAAATACAACCTTCCAAGACTGACCAAGAAAGAAACAGAAAATCTAAACAGACCAATTACCAGCAACCAAATTGAATCGCTAAGCAAAATCTACCCAAGAACAAAACCCCAGGCCAGATGGATCTCCTGCGGAACATTATCAGACATACAGAGAAGACATAATACCCATTCTCCTTAAAGTTTTCCAAAAAATAGAAGAGGAGGGAATACTTCCTGACTCATTCTATGAAGCCAGCATCACACTAATACCAAAACCAGGCAAAGATCCCACCGAAAAAGAAAATTACAGACCAATATCCCTGATGAACATAGATGCAAAAATACTCAACAAGATATTAGCAAATCGAATTCAAAAATACATCAAGAGGATCATACACCATGACCAAGTGGGATTCATCTCAGGGATGCAAGGATGGTAGAACATTCGAAAATCCATCGACATCATCCACCACAAAGACAAAAAGGACAGAAACCACATGATCATCTCCACAGATGATGAAAAATCATTTGACAAAATTCAACATCCATTCATCATAAAAACTCTCAACAAAATGGGTATAGAGGGCAAGTACCTCAACATAATAAAGGTCATATATGACAAACCCACAGCCAACATTATACTTAACAGCAAGAAGCTGAGAGCTTTTCCTCTAAGATCGGGAAAATGATAGGGATGCCCACTCTCCCCACTCTTATTCAACATAGTACTGGAGGTCCTAATCACGGCAATTAGACAAAACAAAGAAATACAAGGAATCTGGATTGGTAAAGAAGAAGTTAAACTGTCCCTGTTTGCAGATGACATGATATTGTACATAAAAAACCCTAGAGACTCCACTCCTAAACTACTAGAACTAATATCTCAATTCAGCAAAGTTGCAGGATACAAAATTAATAGACAGAAATCTGTGGCATTCCTATACACTAACAATGAACTAGCAGAAAGAGAAATCAGGAAAACAACTCCATTCACAATTGCATCAAAAAGAATAAAATACCTAGGAATAAACCTAACCAAGGAGGTGAAAGTCCTATACCCTGAAAACTACAAGACACTCTTAAGAGAAATTAAAGAGGACACTAACAAATGGAACCCATCCTATGCTCTTGGCTAGAAAGAATTAATATTGTCAAAATGACCATCCTGCCTAA